CTCTCAACCACTGCACCACCAGGGAAGCCCTGTTTTTAGTTTTTTAAAGAAGCTGCATACTGTTCTCCATAGTGGCTGTATCAATTTACATTCCCACCAACAGTGCAGGAGGGTTCCCTTTTCTCCACACCCTCTCCAGCATTTATTGTTTCTAGATTTTTTGATGCTGGCTCTTTATCAGTTTCTAAAGCTCTTTCTCCTTTTTACAGCTGAGTAGTATTCACTGTGTCCATTTATCATGATTTATGTAGCTCCTCACTGATGGGTATTGGGTTCTTTCCAATCTTTTGGTTTTAAAACTAATGCCACAATGCATAATCTTATGCACAAGTCATGTTGTGTTTTTGCCAGTGCTTCTTGGGGATACATTTCTATAGTCTAAATTTCTGGGTCAAGGGTAAATGGATATGTCATTTTTCTAGATATTGCTAAATTCATCACATGGATTTTATACCTTAGAGTCCCACAAGTTATGTATTAGAGTCTAATAGGCTTTTTAAAACTAACTGGAAGCTTATCAGTTGGTCACTGCATATATTTTATGAGGAAAATGAATTTTCTCCATGGAAAAAAGAACACATACTCTAGAGAAATACTTCCCCCTTACTGAGGCTGGGCTGGGAAATATCTGTTGGCCCACAGAGGGGGCTCTGAGGAAGCCCTGGAAATATTGCCCATTTGCATGACTAGATGTTTCTAAGTCTGAAGGACCTTGTGTGAGGACTTCTGCTTTTTCTTTATCACAGCTGCAATGTGAACCAATTTGGGGGCTTCCTGTTTCAGAAGTGGCTAAGTCTACCCTCAGCTCATGGGGGGATCTTGGAAGTTCTGGAGGGGGAGAGCAGGGTAGTTACTGGAGAAGGTGAAAGCAAGTCGTGCCTGGTGAGGATTTAGAACAAAAGGGAGCCCTTGTTTCCTGCTACCTTATCACCTGTAAGGTGATGAGCCATCCTGGTCTCCCCTGTAACCAAAAGTAGGGCAGGCAGACTCCTTTTTCTCTGACCCCCTTAGAAAATCTAGGTAAACACCTTTTGTTTCTTTAAGTTTTGAGGAAGTGAGGGGATCATTATGTTACTGAATTATTAAATGACGCGGAGTTATGCTGGTTGCTCAAAGACGCTTCTCAGCCTCAGCATCTTGGATTCGGAACCCAGCGCTCACGGGTCTCTCCTTAGAACAGGGCCTACACAGAGTCAGCACTCAGTGCGCGTTTGTGGGATGAGGGACAGCAGCATCCCCTCCTGTTGTGAGGCTTTGTGGGGCTGATGCTACAGATTCGGGTCAGACTGGGTCCTCCACCAGTCTCAGAGTGGGCGCTCTGAGACCTTGGCAAGTTACTCATTGCTCTGTACCTCTGTTTCCTAGTCTGTAATACTGGCAAAACGGCGATCACCACACCTCAGAGGAGATGGTTAGAGAAGAGTTGTGATGAGCTGTTGCGATAACTGCATTACAGTTGATTGGGAGAAGCGTCAGGGTCCTCAAATATGGCTGCTTGTCTTTCAGACGTTGACCTCCAGAGGCAGGGGCCGAGGGAGGCCTGGCATTTAGGAGGAGATTAATAATAAGCAGGACATATAATAGTAAATCATAAAACAGGTAAATCTGATTACATCGAGATATAAAGCTTCAGTGTGATAAAGTAATAGCTAACATATAGTTAACCCTTAAAAAAAACATCTTTCGTGATGCAGTTGTTGTTTTGCCAGTTTTACTGATAAGAAAACTGAGGCACCGAGTAGAGTCACCTGCCCAAAGGTGCACTACCCCAAAGCGGGTAGACTGGGCTGTGAACTGAGGTGAGTCTGCAGGGCCTGTGCCCTTCACCGTGCCGGCCGCTGCTTTGCATGAAGTTAAAATGCCTGTCACGGAGTGGAGGGGACACTTCCCCCATCCGTCCTGCATGTGCTTACTAAGTGCAGCTGTACTCTGTACTCTTACTGTACTCAGTAAGCATGTGCTTACTGAGCGTAGCTGTACTCAGCACTGTACTGGGCACAGTGCTGAGGTCGTGGGCATGAGCCAAGCATAACTCTGCCCTCCTTGAGCTTATGTGATTGTGGAAAAGAGGACCCACACAGTCATAAAGAACTGCACATTCCTGAGACACAGGCAACCTAGTGGGTAAATGGGCAAAGGAAGCCCCAGGGGCCAGGGAATCTGTTAAAAAATTTATATTTATGCAACCTCCTTGATGGTCAGGGAAATGCAACCTAAAATTGTCTGATGGGTGAGAATGAAGAAGTCTGTCCTTTCAGATTCTGGCCAGGATGGTCAGGGGTGGGCACTGGTTCTCAAAGTGTGGTCAGAGGAACCTTCTGGGAGCCTTTCACAATACACGCTGTACATGTACTCCGTGCTCTTCTCATAATACTGGGTAGTTACTTGCCCTTTTCCCTCAGTGCTCTCACAAGTGTACAGTGGAGTTTTCCAGAGGCCACATGGCATGTCGTCACCACAGATTGAACCCAGAGGCAGAGATGGGAGCCCAGTTGCCTTCTTTTAAGCCGGGCATGAAAGAAATTTGCAAAAATGTATAGCAATGCTACTCTTCTCGTTAAAGTTTTTTTTTTTTTAATAAAAACCCTGCAATTATTTGAGCCATTATTTAAGTGTTACAGGCAGTAGAACACAACACCTAATTGACATATTAGCTGTCCAGGCTGTTTATTTACTTTTATTGAGCTGGTTTGTTTTCATGGTACCCTTTGTTTTTTTTTCTTTTTTGGCCACACTGCACGGCATGTGGGATCTTAGTTCCCCAACCAGGGATTGAACCCACGCCCCCTGCATTGAAAGGCAGAGTGTTAACCACTGGACTGCTGGGGAAGTCCCTTGTTAAGGTTTTTTTAATACAGTTGTTTTTCATAAAAATATACAGGTTAACATATGATAGGTTTATTATGTTATGTTTTAAATGAATTAATAAACATTTTAAAACGTTTGGGACTTCCCCGGTGGTGCAGTGGTTAAGACTCCAGGCTCCCAATGCAGGGGGCCTGGGTTCGATCCCTGGTCAGGGAACTAGATCCTACATGCATGCCGCAACTAAGAGTGCGCATGCGTCAACTAAGGAGCCCATGAGCTGCAACTAAGACCCGGCACAACCAAAAAACAAAAGTTTAAATTTCTAATCAGGTAAACATTAGTAGCTCTAACTCATGGAAGCAATACCTCTTTGGAGCCTTTAATGTTTATTAGTGTAAAGGAGTCCCGAGACCAAAATGTTTGAAAACCACTGATCTGCAGCAGTGTTTTTCCAACTGTAGATTGCAATTTATTAACGATTTAGGAAGGTAGTTAGTGGGTTATGATGATCTTTAAAAAAAAAAAAGGGAAGTGGAGTAAAGTCTAAAGGAGGAATCAGTCCACAGCATGTGAGGTTACATACTATTTTGTGAAACTGATTGCAGTCTTTCATACATGCATGTGTGTGTATGTAGAATTGTAATGCTGAGTGGTTTTCTTGGTGTGGATCAGGGTCAGAAAAGGTAGAAAGCCCTGGAGGACCTCTTGCATGTGTGGGCGGGAAATCATGTACAAGGATGTTCATTGCTGCGTTGTTGGAAATAATTTGGTAACATCAGTCTCCACACAAAGGGACTGTCTTAATAAAATGTGGGAGAGTGAGATGATTGAATCCTGTATAGCACTTAAAAGAAATGTACTAGGGCTTCCCTGGTGGCCCGCCTGTCGATGCAGGGGACACGGGTTTGTGCCCCGGTCCGGGAAGATCCCACATGCCGCGGAGCGGCTGGGCCCGTGAGCCATGGCCGCTGAGCCTGCGCGTCCGGAGCCTGTGCTCCGCAACGGGAGAGGCCACAACAGTGAGAGCCCCGCGTACCGCAAAAACAAAAACAAAAACAAACAAACAAACAAAAACAAAAAGAAGTGTACTAGATGAGAAGTAAACTAACAGTATAACACTTACGTAAATAAATACCTATAAGATGACACCTTATGTTCTTAAAAATATACGTTAAGTGTAAAGCCAGTTTAGAATGGATTGGAAAGGATGCATGCCAGATTCATGATGCTGCTTTCCCCTAGGGAGGGAATGTGATGACAGATGGGCAAAGGGGACTCCAAGAAAATCTCTAATTTTATTTTAGAAAGGATTTCCCACAGTTAGATTGGGAACACTAGTGTTTATTTATTTTCTGTTCTTTCCTAAAGCAGGTAGCCAGATCCTGAAAGAGAGAAAAACCATATAAATCAGAACCTTGGACACGGATTTTGCAAAAATTGGATAAATAGCCAGTTGTAATCCAAAAAAACATGAAATCATAATTATTTTGTCAGCAAGTATTTGGAGTCTTACTGGTATGCCAGAACCTTGTTAGCCTCCTGTGGGGCAGCAGCAGACCAGACACCGGTCCCTGTTCTCATGGCATTTCCCGTCTGGCGTTTGATCTGGGTGCCCATTGTGTGCAGCCACTGAGCACTTAGCTCTCGGTGTTGTGTGTCTTCCTCACAACAGCCGGGTGAAGTGGGTGCTGGCTTCTGTGCATTTTACAGATGGAGAAACTGGGGTTTAGAGAGGTTGAGTGTTTGCCCCCTAGGACAGCCAAAGACTTGCGAGATGGTAATGGGCAGGACTGATGTGGGCAGGTCTTTTAAGCTCATCTGGGCTGTAAAGAAAATATACAAGTCATCCTTAATGATTCAGGGACAGGTCAGCCTAAGATAAAATCCAGAAATAGTCCTGAAATATCATTATAGCCAGCAGTTTCACATTTGTCCATTAAACCTTTCCTTTTTAAACTGGCCGTTTTAGCAAGAATCCAGCTAGACTGGGTCCAGCTATGAGTGTTCTCTTAGAGACGGTGTTGCAGGAAGAAGGTAGAGAAATGGAGGGAAGATGCAGGGGTCAGTGCTCTTCTCATTCCGGGACTTGTGCAAGGTCTACAGAGTGTTGACAGCCCTCAGCTGTTGGGGTGTCCAAGTAGGAAGTGGCAGAGGCATTGCTGTGACTCTTGTCCTCACTCTTTCCTTCCCAGGAGTATTTCTTGCAAGCAGAGCTGACAAGTAATGTTTTGAAGACAGGCGTGGTCCGCTGCTGCGTGGGGCAGTGCAGCAACGCCATCCCCATGGACACCGTGCTCACCATGCGGAAGCTGCCCATCACCTATGTACGTGTCTCAGCTGCGACCTCTGCTCTCTGTAGGATTTAGTTCAGTCGTCTGTGTGCCCATCTGGGTTGTGGGTGAGGGAGGTGAAGGGGAAGCTCGTCCAGTCCTTCCACGAGGAAGGCCCGGAGGTGTCTGGTGGGCCTCAGTGTCACAGACGCTGGACACAGTGGGACCAGGCTGGGTGACCACAGTCTGGGAGGTGGGCTTGTGTGGACACTCAGGTGAGGACAGTTTACCTGGGGGCCCAGTTAGGTTTTTCTTGGCTCTTCCTTGCCTTGATACGTTCTGGGGGATTTGATAGAGCAGAGTCCACCCTGGGCGCTTGTGCTGGGGGAGGTACGGCCTCAGGGCCACACGGGCGGGTCTGAAAGCATCAGTCATGATGGCAGTGCTGGTGGTGGTTGGTTCATGCTTCTTGGTGGGAAACGCTTGCCCTTCAGTTGTTCCCCCTGCTCCCTTTTTCTCATCCCGCCCTGCAGAGCAACAGGAAGGAAAACAAGGGTGGGTACCTGTGCCACTCATGTGCGGAGCAGCGCATTGGGCCGCTGGCCTTCCTGACTGCCTCCCCCGAGCAGGTGCGCGCCATGGACCGCACCGTGGAGAACATCGTGCTGCCCCGGCATGAGGCCCTGCTCTTCCTCGTCTTCTGAGGTGCAGGGAGCTCTCTCCTCTGGCCGGGATGCTGGGCAGACTCCTGCCTCCGTGGACGGTGGCATGGGGGCTCCCTCCCCGAGACTGGACTCACTCACAGAGCATCTTCTGAGGAAGATGAAGCCGACTGGAGCTGGATTTGCTGTGTCTCCACCCCTGGAGGTAGCCAGACCCCACTGCCCCTCCTCCACCCCAGCAGGCCGGGGATGCAGGGGATGGTCTTTTGATAAAAAAAAAAAAAAAGAAAAAAAGAAAAAAGAAAAATTATGTATTTAAGCTTTTATTACAAGGTTTCGATTAAACAGGCATTGTAGCACTGGTGTTCCACTGTGTGACGGCCCCTGCCTTCAGCCCTGCTGTTTCTGGACTTTCTCCTTTTCTCCACTCACTCTTTTCAAAGCTCTGTAACTGTTCACGGTGCACACCAAGCAGAGTAGGAGGCTTATTGTCCAGGATGACAACTAATGCATCAAAAATGAGATTTTTCGTGCTGTGGGGAATCACACATGTATAAGACACAGGGTGCGCCTTTGTCATCATGGGGTTCACAGCCTGAACAGGGAGGCAACATGACATATAACAAGACAAGTACAAAGTGACACTAGCTAGACACCTTGTGTTCCCACAGGTAAAACGGAAGACCAGAAATACCTGAGAGAGAGGCAGAGTAGGCCAGCCACGTTGTGGGGGAGACAAGAGCAGGTGGAGATGGGCAGCTGGTACCTAGTTCACTGCCTGGGGATGCTGGGTGGATGTCGTAATAAAGCTGTTCTATATAGAGACCAGTGGAAAAACCCACGTTGCTTAGCCGTACATGGATCTGGTTTTTTACATTTTTGCCATGCAGCACTTCAGGGATGCGCAGATGGCAGGTGAGGGCATTGCCCAGAGAGTTCACCAGCTAGTGTCTGAGCCCAGTCAGCGGAGTGGAGAACAGACTCCTAGCCTCATTGTTGCGGCCGCCCCTAACCTCTCCCACGTCAGGCCTCTAGTGGAGTTTAGCGAGCAGGCCGGTGAGTAAAGCAAGGGTGCTGTTGGATCGGTCTGGGGTGCTTGGAAAGGGTGAGGGACACGTCTGCATATAGCAGAGAATTCACAGAATGGGCCCTGAAGACAGAGGTGGGACGGGGTGCTTTCTTCTGCTCCGCCGGCATTCCC